ATGATATTGATATTTTTATTAAAAAAAAAAAATAAAAAAAATATTCTAATCAAATTATTTGTCTTTATTGAATAAAAATATACAACTTTATTAAAAAAAAAAACACACAGACTTCAAGGTCGGATGAAACTTTACGCACTAGGATAATACAAATATGAGTAAACGACATTAATGTACTGGCCTTTTAAACTTGAAATTGTTGTACCATTGTTTCGAAAAACAATTCTGAGTGTAAGAGGTTACATTTTTGAAGATGGTTGATGTAGTAAGAGAATCAAATTTTTCATATGGCAGGTAGGAATGTTTAATGTACTAATTTTCGCAACAAAAGACATCTAACATTTAAAAAAATCAAAAATACAAGTACCTATAAACAAAAAAAAAAAATTCTAAAATAGTTTGAAATTAAAAATTATCTTGAATTATATAACAAAATGTTTTAAAACATAAAATACACCAGTCAATTTGGCAGATTTTAATATAGCCTTTTGAGAAAGATGAGTAGGTACTTCTGGACTTTTTATCCGTAATGTAATCGTCGTTATTAATTACGTCTTTATTCACTAAATTCATTTTACACAGTCAATTACTTAATTTTAATCATCTATTACAAGAAAAGATGACGAAAAAATACCATTTAAATAATTTTACCCGCTACAACAACGTAGCGACGCCATAAAACTGATAATATATAATACCGTGAAACAGTGCTGAACAGATAATCTAAATTAATACATTTATTTTCTAACTAATATTTCGTTTAAATAATACGATAGTACAATTAACAAGGACTGAAAAATTATATTATAATAATATAACAAACAACAAAATAATGACGAGATAAAAATACGAGTAATATAATTAAATCATGCAACAAAAAAAGCCTAACAGTAAAATAAAAAATATTTTTGTTAAAAAAGCACTTGTGATGCACATGTACCCTTTTAAGAAAAATCACAAAATAAAAAAAATTATATCTATTATAATTAGTAATACATAAAGTAATTCATAAATTACAAAATATTATATATTCCTGAAATATTAACTATTAATTTGAATAAAATAATATTTTAAAAATTAACTAAATACAATGAATATTTATCTATGAAATTTATCTTGTTCTTTCATTAGATTTCTTAATCATTAACAGAATATAAAAAAAAAAAAAATTATCAATTTATTTTATTGTACCAAATAGTTGATAAATATTAGGTCTATTTTTTTTTATTTTTACTTTGTAAAGATAACAAATTAAATAATAAATTATTAGCATATTGTGCGAAATGTTATAATAAAGATGAGTGAATTATGATAACTGCTAGGTGTCAACGTTAATTACTTAAATACCATCGTAAAAATGAGATAAACTGTGTTTATTAGTACATTATTAAATATAACTGATTGTAATTTGTAATTGTTTTTGAAAATTTTATCAATATCGATAACACTGATTAATAGATTGCGTAACGATAATTAGGTAGTAGTTTCTACATATTGTTCCATACTAGCAGGAGTAGCATAGCTAACTTGCACTCTGAATCCGTATTTAAGAAATTGATTATATGTAAGATCCTCATTTTAAATTTTTTTTTAATGTCGATCATTTTATAAAAAAATCAAATTATGCGTGGCTATGAATACTGAATTTGGCTTTTTATTGAGTCCATAATTAGTGAAAAATCAAATAAAACACAAGCGTAACTTTCTAAATACAGGTGTTAAAAAAGAACTACACAAAAGATTCTAAGTGGATCCGACATTAAATTAAAAAAAAAAAAACCACAATTATTAAGGATTCACCTGATATAAATATTACCAACAATTTTAACAATTTTGAGCCTGAATTAAAGAAAAAAATGTGATTCCCCCTACCTTATAAGTGAGTCTATATACGCCCCTGCTGACTTGTATGTTTGCAGTACCGAATGGAACGAACTAGTCAACGAAGGATATATGTCAAAATACATATTTTAATACTACAAACGATCAGTGGCGCCGGATCGCCAAAATAATGGTGCGACAACATTTCATTATGACACCCACCCACCAATGGGTAATTACACCAATGAGTATTAAAGACCCCTCTCCCCTAAAAAAAAAATTGCTAGCACTCTAATAATTCAGAAAGACGCCAATCAAAGTTGTAGTATAGGCCTGACAGGTTAAAAATTGCAATCATCCTTTGCAACTCAAATTGCTCATAACTGTTGAATTTAAATTAATTTTAAATTACGGCTATGTTATATTTTACTTATTTAGTTAATAGTTACATATAATTTTATTTATTTCAATCAAATTAGGGTACGGACAAATGAGTTGTTTATTCAATTTATGATTAAATATTATTTAGATATATACTTAATAAAACATTTTATAATTTAACTTTCAGAAAAGATACAGTGAATATTATTACTGAATCAAATTAATTCGTTACATTCAGAATATATATCAATCACAGTGTATATCGAATGTTAATAATTAACAGATAAATAAAAAAATGAGAAAAAACGAGTGTTTACATCACGGCTGTATATTATATATTATTTATAGCCGTGGTTCACATAAATCAAGAATTGACGTCGGATAAAAAAGTCGGAAAAATAGCAACGCAGCACGGTTCAAATGGTGGTACCTAGCGGACATCATCACAATCGTTTGCGTCCCCTATTAGGTGATTGAGGGGGAACGAGGTGTCACGACGATGTTGGTGGTAGATGGGAGAGATAAAGGCACGGTCGGTGACTAACGTTTTGGAAAAGGCTGCCGCACTTGTCCGCGTCAAGTACTACACATAGTGCTACACAATTTTACTATATACAATGTTAATGTACTATTAAATATTACTATTTTTGTACTGCATAGGTATTACCTAACGGTAGTATGGTACCACCTGACCACCCACGACCCACCCCTTAAAAAGGTGTGACCGCTGTCACACCTTTATACCGTGTACGGCGCCACTGCAAACGATTGTTTGTCGTTTGTACGATGGCACTGCATAACGCGCACGGATCTAGAAATCGCCTATACTCGTCTCCTGTAACGTTCGTTGTCGGTACTCGCTTTCGGAAATACTTTTAAGCATTACACACATGTTTTGTTGAAAATCATATAAAATTCACCTAATCGGTATCGGCTTTGCGTGGATGTTACGTTACGACGTTTTGTTCTCAAGCGATTGAGTGCTTCAAGTTTTGTCAACTATTTTTATTTCCCGACGAATTATAACACGTCGATTCCACTGCAATAAAGGTGTACATCATGAACTGTTAACTAAAACCCACCACGGTCGTAAACAAAATGCATATTCCGACATAAATGAAACATCGCACCCGTCGTAACACATATAATGCTCAAATTGCTAAATACAATTGAGGGGGCGTAACTGGTGCTCAAAAAAAAGAGCATACTGTTCATTTTTTTACCGAAATTCTCATCGAAAACCGCTACGCAAAGGTTCATATTGTACCAGCCAAACATCCAGTCGCATTTTTTGTTTTGCTCCTCGTTGCCGTCGAGTGTTATGATAGAACAATGCGATTCAAACATTATATAAAAAAATATCCCGCTCAACATTGTAATTTCAACGTTTCGTTATTCGAAATAATGGGCAAAGCGATGGCATACACACAAGTTGTGCTTATTATCTGTTCTAGAATGTAAACGACTCGATTACTCACGAATCTGCACCCTTAAACTCGTAACCTCTCTTAAGGTTATAAAGTTAGGTTAAGTAGTTTGAATGCAATAAATCGTACTGAAAACCGAGTTGGTACAGAAAATATAATGTATACAAAAAAATTATTCATTTCGTTTATTCGAATCTAAAGGACTATCTAACATTCTGCACAGGGCACCACATACCTAAACTTGGTCTGGAACCATCCATAATGATAATTCACTCAAATTATAAAATCATTTTTACATTCCTGAGTAAAAAAAAAGTTCAAAATATTGAAAGGTATTTTAACGTTCAATATGTTGCCGGTATTTGCGTTATTTTAATATGTAACAATGTTATATGTACCACGTTATACCGTCTTGCTTCCTGCAATATTAAACTCTTGGAATAAAACCCAAGTTATTTCTATACCTATAATATATATCCAGTAAAGTATTCATGAATTAATATAATGCTACAGTTTTGATATTGAACAATTTCCTGCACATGTACCGACTCGTAAGTTGTGTACTATGAGTCAAATTACCAATAATGTACAAGGATAAAATAATACAAAAACGGATTTCGGTAACTCGTTTTTAGTATTTTCCGGGGGAAAATAAACAATTGAATAAATATCAGTATATCGTAACATAAAATAATATTTTTTTCGACTCTAAAAGTAATATCATTTTGTCCAAACACGTCGTTTGAAAATGTTTGAAATCGCATTTTTTCAATGTATCTAAATCATGTCTCAAAAAGATGAAAATTCACTTCTCTAATATGATTATTTTCAATTCAACTACCTGCACGTTGTCTATACCGTACAAACGTCTCATAATAGCGTGAGACGATAAAAATAGTAACGTGTTACAACGTTCCTTATTTTTAATTTAAGTACATCATGAACGTACAGTGGAACCCTGTAAATATACAAATAAAGGTCATAAATATCCACGAGTTTCACAAATAATTCATTAAACACTTAATGAATAATAAACAATAAAATAATTATTATCATAAAAAAAAAATGTATTCTATTAAAAATGGTAAATTTTTTACAGATTTAGTTAACCAATTGAAATAATTGCATTGGTAAATCATTACAACTAACAACTATTGTGTTTTCAAGTAAAATTTAATACTAAACAAATTAACAAACTGTTCAAATTTGAGTTAAAAAATATAATTGGAAAAATAAAAATAAAAAGTACAATGTAAATATTTAAATGTTATTGTTATGTAAATATTTAAATATATCTATTTATTTTTATCAATATTGTGATCTAATTTTTTCCGTAATAATTAATAGTAAACAATATAATATTATTTTGATACGGAAAAAAATAATAGTACAATGAAAACTTATAATAAAATTAACTTTTCATTGTCACGAGTATTTAGTAATTATTTCTGTTCCATCCACTTGGGTCCACGCCATAGTTACTTTCGGGTCTTCTGTTTCCTTGTGAAATTTATATTTAAAAACTACTGTAGTAAAATACTTTAGAGAACAATATGCGAAAAACGGCTTCAGTCTCCGAATTTGACGTGTCAGCATGACTCAAATATTATTCAAAAATTACCTTTTTGTTTCCAAAACCATCGAAAAAACAATATTCTATTGAATTTTGAAACCGGACTGAGCTTTCGAATAAATACAATTTTATGATACTGTAATCGTTGTCGCGGGTATTCCGTGATATGATTGTAATGTTATTTTTTCATATTTTTTATTGTTTTTAAGTATTTTATTTTTTATAAACAACAAGATTTATTAAAATTCATTTTCTAAACTATAATCATTTTTTCAGCAAGCGAAATTAAATTTTTATTATGTGGTAATTAATTATAATAATAATAAATTTACAATTTTTTTAGTTCGATCCTTTATTTACTAGAATTAATGTGTTGCTATAAAGTATTAGATTTTAATTATATGCATCAATATCCAAAAAGTGAATACTTAATAATCATCAATTGAAAAATGAGTGAATTTCGATATTTTTTTCAAAATTGTTGTGTATTATAGGATTAATAATAATTTAAATTCCTAAATCACTTAAATTGTCGTAATGGTCACAGGTAAAACAAAAACAAAAAAAAAAATTTATATAGATACAAATATTTTATAATAGGTATATAAACGTGTAGTGACGTATTTATTGGGGGAAATGACCATAAGTCTCAACCTTCCTCCTCGGGATTAAAATAATAAAAATGTTTGACTAAGTTTAAATATATTTTGATGTATAAAAATATATTATTTATGCTTACAAGATTCTAGTACAAAAAATATTAAAAAATTGATTTCAAAAGTCATCAATTACTTGTTTCGTGGGTACAGGGAAAAAGAGCATATCCATTTATATTATATTCCATATTATTCTGTGCAACCTTTAATGGATAAATAACAATAAAAAGAAATTTTACGTGTTATACAATTCGTGTACTATCAATCGACGTTTAATTATAAAATGTATATTCATTTACTTTTTAAAAAAATTAAAATTTTAACTCCCCTCCATATTCGAAAAAAATTAAAAATATACCCCTCTAAACACGTTGTATATATTATTATTTGAATTTGTACAAAATGATTAAATAAGTAATAACTCTCGATATTGATATTATTTGGTAATACTCAATTTCCCTCACACTGTGTTTTATTTATAGCGCAACGGCTTACCAACTATAATCGTTGAAATATTACTGTTATTATATATTATTCGTTTTCTATATTCTTAATGGGATCTTGAAAAATAACGCGGCTGTTTTAATAGTTTTTTACGTTTATATTCTGTGAATCACATAAATTATATGCATATTATGCTTAGAGCTAAGTTAGAAAATAGACGGAAAACCGTTTATCGTGAGAAATGTTCGGTTTAGGTACGCAGTTTCCTGTATAATGGGGTTGAATGGAATTTCGTTAAATTATTTTTTGAATCATCCAGCCATTGTGTGCAATATTACCGGTTCATAGGGTCAATATGCTCGATGCTCATTTATCATTTTTAAAAAATGGTAATATTATATTCTGCATCTGAATAATAATAAATGTATTCGAAATCGTGTATCATTTGTTTTACAGTTATCCGTGTTATTCAAATCGTTCAATTTACTTTATGGTGAATCGAATTTTATTATTTAACTATTGCAGTATTTATTACTAAACAAACACAATATAAATTCATCGTTGAAGTGAATGAATCGTATGATTATAATAAATTATTACAATCCACTTGGTGCTAAAAATTAAAGTATACGCCGAAACATTATTTTATACTCATACAATTATGGTTATAACTAGGGCCCGGAATTGTATGCATTTACATATTTTCGCATATTTAGAACAATTTAAATTATTATGCATATTTTAGCATTTTTCTGTAATATAATGCATATATAGAAAAAAATATTAGGAAGTTATTAATATTATTATTTATTACTTAGGGCATGTCCATCGTAAATTCCGTGAATTGTGCAGTTATATAATTCAATTTTTGTGTTATAATAAGATAAAATAAAGTTTTCTAAAAGTACCAATACGATAGTAACTCTCCAGGTAACTTTAAAAATATTATAAAAATTCACTTGATTTGTTTGATTTGATTGATTTTTGTTAGTGACTTTTTGTTTAGATGAGTGAGTGTTCAAAATAATATTTAATGTCAATACAACTTACAGTTCCACACAGTTCAATATAAAATACAATTGATATATTTTAAAGTATATTTTTTGTTTAATATTAATTAATTTATCAATTTTATACATTTTAAAAATAAATAAATTTAATAAATAATAAACATGTATTTTTGTTTGCATATCTTAATGATAACCATCGTATAAATGCATGAATTTCGTACGTTTTTAGTGCATATAATTCCGGGCCTTAGTTATAACATTGTTACAATTTATAATTTAAATAATTTCGATTATCTGTGTGATAAAAAAAATATACTGAAAAATACTTCATAGGTACGTATATATCGGAAATTTAATGGCAGTTCTATAGCAAGTACAAAATAAAAGTCGGATAAATGTTTGATAACGAAAATAATCCAAAACAACAAAAATAGACAAAAAGCTTGGTTTCCGTTAAAAAGCTAATTGGTTTCGTTTCATAGAAAAAATTGCATGATTGTGAATAATTGACATATTGTACTTTAATAAGGATTCCGACGAATTGATATATTCTTTTGTACGTTTTAGTTATTATAGTTCTTTGATTGAATAAGATTATTTACTATTTTATCTACTTGTATATCTATGAATTATTTAATAAACCCATCTGTATTGTCACGTAAAAATATTAAATTGTATGAATGTTTTAAAATCGCTCTTATACGCTATATCAGCGTTTCCCAAACTTTTTTTCTGCTGGATCCCTTGAAGATAAAAAATTTATTGCGGACCCATTAATACAAATTTTTAATTTACGTTAACGGACACCCTCCGGTATACGAGTGGACCTCATTTTGGAAAATGCTGGGCAATAGAATGCACTTTTAATGTTTTTACTCGACTATCAACAGCACTTAAAACGAAAGAGAATTATTATAATTTTAAATGAAATTACTTTTAGATAAAATAAAAAAATAAATTGTGTACTAAGTCATTTAAATGGCATATAAAAATAAATTATAATAAACGCCATAATGGCAGTTGGTTCTTTGTAAGCAGTAATAAAATAATTAAACAAAATTTCGATATCAAAGCTCGCAAAAATCGAGTAGGTCACGTGATCACGTCAACACGCCAGCAAGTATTGTACAATGATAACTATGAAGGATCGATGGGATCTACGACGACGATGGGAATAATATTGTTTATCGTCTACCTCTTTTCATAAACTCAACGCGGATATACTTATTACTCGAATTCGCATCCACACAATTTTCAGAAGTTCTGTCTAGTCACCTGGACTTAGCGGTGGTATAGAAGCACGTGTGCTACTAAATTAACTGCGTTCACGACCGAATTCCGGCGGCGATATCATTCAAACGATATTACTGTTATGTACTTACGTTTTTTGTACATCAAAAAGTGTACGTTAGCTCCGGGCATGGTGTAATCGTAACCGTACCGATCCGGCTCGTTGAAGACGTTTGTCCGGTAAGCTTCGGCCCGCTCCCCGTTGTAGCCGGACTGGTATCCGCCTCCGTTCTGAGTATATCCGCCGCGTTGACCGAAGCCGTTTCCGAATCCTCGCTGTTGCCCACCACCGTTATTGTACCCGTGCTGCATGCCCATCCCGGGGTTCGACCACTGGTTGTTGTTGTAGCCGCCCGGAGACGGATACGCTACTGCGTGGTGAACGCAGGCGGACAAGGACAGCAACGCCTGCGACGCAGAACGCAAACAAATACTGTTATCACTGGTACGGTACGAGATTATCAATATCAGAGATCACCGGAACCCACGATTGTGGTGGTCAGTTGTACTGGACCACGACCGTTTCACCCAAGTCCAACCACCACCGTTTCTTTCTGATGATCCCTTTTCCGACGCTTTCAAATTAAAAAAAAAATCGACATTGGATGCAATGAAATGTACGGAATATCTTCTGTACCGTGAATGGGATTTGGTTAACCGTATTACTCGTATGTTATACACGATACCGCTCTCATATCTGCCCACTGCACCCCGTGTGTTGGTCGTGTCTTCAGTGACGAGTCGCGTACATTAATAATTTTATTTGAACTGATATATTTTTTTTTCTATTACTTAGAAATAATGGTTATGCATGTAAAAGATAAACGGGATAAAGACATGTTAATTTCTTAACGGCTTAAGTATTATTTTGCTTTCAAAATCTTGAACACGATAGAAATTCGTTGACGATTGAAATGATTAAAACGTATGTGTGACGCTACTTAATATGCTTTTACTAATATTTAAAAGAACTTTTAAAAAATATAAAACATACTAATGATTTAACATGAAACAACTAAAGTTTCCTAAGGGCATATCTCCATTTATATTTATTGATAACATAATTTAAAAAATTTACGAAAAATTCTGTGGACAAAACTAGTACATGAAAAAAATAATATTTGAACGAAACGAGTCGTGCCTTTATCTTACGTTTTTGGGTGGTTAATTTTATTAGTTAAATTTTTACCAGGTTTAATGGTTTTAGTATGGGCTTTTGGATTAAAAATTAGGTATCTGGATTTGATACTATAATCTGTTTAGTCTTGCAACTTCGAAATCACTTTATTTCATATGATTCACTTTAAAATCACATTTTTTATGAATAGTACACATAGTTATACAGTCAAATTTGTTTGCACATAACAATTTATAACTTATTACAGTTATTATATATTGTTAACTCTTGATAATATATGTGTATTGTATATTTGCGATTAGAATTTATGAAGCTCTATAAATGATTTCCATTCATATTGTATTGTATTTTATTATATAGTGGTCTCGATGTTATGCTAAAATAATTCCTTCGATGTTTTTGATGTTGAACGGAAAATATAATCTTATGGCAAAATTGAGGTATACATTTTATGGTTGGCGAAGGTAGTTACTAAAATATATAGTATATATTATATACAGTATAATTATAATTTTATATATAATTTATTAGCTGTTAATATAGTTATATATGATATTTAATATACATTTTTTCCAATTTATAGGAAATAAATAATTAACAGTATTTATTTAAAGACTATATATCAGTTCACTTTAAAAATTGTACAGTAATTTGATATTATTAAAATTGTCTATTTAAAAGAAAATATTTTTTGTACATGTTGATACATAATACAATAGTTGTAAGAAATAAATATATTATTTTTCATCATTATTCAATGATGAAAAAAAATAATAATAATATAATGAATAATAATATTAATTATGAATAAATAAACTATAGTTTTGTTACACAACTTTCGTGTCAAGGTTGTTCACAAAAAAAATAACGGTGAAAATGTTATACAATAGCTTCATGAAGTATAGTTGACAGATACAATGTAATAATAAGACTATAATAACTCTATAGTTATCAAGGTAGAAAATATACTTTATTCATGCATCGCAGAACGAATATAAGTTTATTGTCCTTTTAGAAGCTATGAAAGTTTGATAAATGTAGCAGCTTATATTAAATAAAAAAAATATGTATATTAAAACCACAAATAAATATATAAATCAATTTTTTATGATATTTTTACAATTTTCGAAAAAGAAAATCATATTTTCTAATGGTCTTTGTATAATCCATAAGAATTAAAAAAAAAGACTATGGATTTTTTTTATAATATATTTGAATATCAAAGTAATTTGTTTATAAGAATCTAGACTTAATAAGACTGTTATCCTCATTGCCTGCAGATTGAAAAACTTACTGATCTTAATATTTTATTATTACATTATTTGACAAATCTATATGTAAATTATAAGAAAAGTTATGAATAGTAAAAACGCGATGTGGAACATTTTGATGATGAAACTTTGGAAAAGAAAAAAAATGGTCGGAGTATAGTCGAGATGAAGGAAATTTCAAAGAAAGGGCAAGCTAATGTAAAAAAAAAAAAAAGTCATTAAGATTAGTCGATGGGAGGATATTTAATAAATATTAACGATAAATGTTAACAATTAAATGTAAGTTTATAAGTTGAAAAAATAAATATACCTACATAACAATAATTGTTTCTGTCTTACACATTTAGTTTATAAACACATTAATTATAATTTATTTAAACCTAAATGTTGTACTTGAACGCTTTTTGATTATATTATTTTTGGTCTTCGGTAATAACTTTTTTAAAAATATAGATATGAGTAAAAATAGTACTCTTATAGTTTTTACTAAATAGAATTACACTTTAAAGATTCATTTTGTTATTTTAAGTTGTTAGTTATTATTATTTAGAGAAAAGGTTAAATGTTTATTACAAACAAAAATAAAAAATTTTGAATTTATTCATTTAAATATTAAAGATTGTAACAACACATGAAAATGATATATTTTTAAAAAAATATAAATTATTATTGTATTTTGAATTTTTTTAGTCTAATTTTTAAACATAAACTTTTTATTAAATTAACAATATAGACGGACTAGATATTTTGATTAATATATACAATATAAAAATAGTATGCCGTTTAATTATTTTTGAACAAAAATAACTGTAGATCGGCACGTGTAGTTTGATACTTGGAAAAACTGCATTCTCCGTCAACTGGTGGAAATTATTAGAAATCTATTAAATTTGTTATATATTGGTTTGCTAGTAAGGAAGTACAACTAGAATTAAAAACGAAAATTTCAGATTAAGTAAACGGTAAATAAATACGTTTTTAATTTTCTAGTTCGATATACGAACGCGTTAAGGTATGAGCAAACAACGTTTCGAAATAAATCTCGAGCCGCACTTGCCTATAAAACTGTTTCATTTACTTTTTGTTTTAACGTAATTGCTCAACCCGGTCCGTATTTAGGGGGAGCACGGGTAGGCATATGCCCGGGGGCGTCAAGTCTCAGGGGCGGCAAAATATTTTAGCAAAATTAATTTAAAAATTCTGTACCAAATAAAAATAAAATAAAACAATAAAAAAAATAAAATAGTATGTTTTATTACGTTATGATTTGTAAATTAAAAAAAAAAATTGTACTTTTATTATATAATAATTTGATAATTAAAAAAAAAAAGGAAACTGAATGTTTTATTATGTTATAATTTGTTTAATTTGTTAATTAAAAAAGTTATTAAACGATTTACATTTATAAGTTAATTTCAATGTTAAAGAATCTAGCTTATGGACGAAATGATAAGTGTTATATAATCATTATTTATTTTTAGGGAGGGGGCATAAATTATATGCCCGGGGGCGGTAAAATTTTTTAAATACGGGCCTGGCGTCAACTGATCGTCAAGCGTATCGCGAGTAGTCGTCAGATAGCTTTCGACAGGGCGTCACGGCCATCGTTTCGCGTAAGCAAGTATTGCGCTCTCGACGGGAAAACGTAACGAGCGTTCGCGGGATAGGAAAACGTGTACGAACCCGATGGACGAGTTTCCAGGCGGTAATCGTCAAGAAAAAAAAAAAAAAACACGTTGTTTTACAACTCACCAAGCAGCAGGACGCAGCGGTGACGGAGTTCATTTTCGTGATGTCTTCTTCGGTTGTCGAACTACAAACGTTGTTGTCTACGGCGGCGACGGTGGTACGAGCACGGGACGTCCAGTAGTGAGGAGACTGCGCGAACTTAACACGTCCGGCGGCGGCGGAGACGTGGCATTTATACGGTTCGCGGCCGACGGTCTTCTCGGAAATCCCCGACCTTGGCCACGATCGTGCGCCGCGCGTAAAAGCCGTTCCGCAACCGCTGTTGCGTGCATACCCCGTTGTTATTATTGTTTTCGGCGACCATTATTGTACACAACAAGTCTGTAACAACGCGATGCGCGCGCGCTCATAATTAACGACCGTCGGCGAGAACGCGCGTACACCGCCTTCCGCCTCGTCTTCCGGCGTGTCCGTCGTCGTGATCCGTCAAACGGTCGTGGTTTTTGTTTTCTCGACGTGAAAACGACAGTGGAGTAAAAAATAATAAAATAAAATACACGGCCTCTTTTAGTCCGCACGCCGCGTCCCGGGAGACAGCCGTAGTCTTCCGGGACCGTGCGTTCGAAACGTGGCGAAGGCCGTCGAGGGCGGCTCCAGGGGGGAGATAGGGGCCGCGGCTCCTCCCCCACCGAGCCTGTACCGTATTTATAAAAAAATTTTGTATAGTTAACGAGAGGACGCATACTTGTAATATGGACTGTCATACGACACGCACGAGTACGTGGATAGAGTGCCATAGAGGTGTACGACGGTCGAAAGGAGTTTCTCCGCGCTTCGGAGACTGAAAACCTGGCTTCGTTCAAGGACGACTGAAGATAGACTATCAGCGTTATGTCCAATCCGTGTATATCATGAAGTAGATATTCTAGATCGAATACATCATGTTATTGATGTTTTTGCCAAATTTAAAATTAGACGACTTGAGTTTGTGTTCTAAAAATTGTTGTTTTCTTTTTGCTATGAGGTTTCGTTAAATTATAACTTGCCCCACCCCCCTAACCAAGGCTCAAGAGCCGCCCCCTACGGCCATGTTCGTATGGGGGTGGAGGAGATATTTCGGTAAGTGTTGGCATTGAACCAGTAGCACAATCAGGAATTTTTCATGGGGGGGGGAGTCTGACAAAATAAACTAATATACAAATAATAAAAAATTATAATATATATATCTAGAATATGTTATTAATATACTATTATACGTACCAAGGGGGGGGGTCCAGACCCGGAGTCCACCCCCCTGGTTGCGCCACTGCATTGAACCGTCCATCACCTGTTCGTCGCATACGGATGACTTCCGCGGCGAAATCGCAATAATCAAGTCGCGGGGGCACGGACAAAGTCGTGAGACACGTACGGAGAAGATTCGCATGTTCGGTACGCGCAGGTGTGTACACTAGTGCTCTGCATGATCCGGTCTAATACGGTCCTACATATAAAAATCATTGAATCGTTGGTTTGGTCCGGATCAATAATTTTAAGGAGTAGTTCAATCCAGTCCTCAGATCAAATGCATTATTTTCAGTACGGTCCGGTTTCGAAAAAAAAAAGAAATGAAAATCAGTCCAGTCCGGTCCCAATCATGGTAATTAAAATCTAAATACAGATATTGTTACGTAAACAAATAAAACGAAAAAAACCTACAACTTTAGGTATACAGTATGTTCCATAAGTCCCGTATCACCCTTAATATCTCAACGGAAAATCAATATATTTAAACGTGGTTTTTTTACAATACTTAGTATGGAAATTCTGATTGAATGGCATAAAATTCAATTTTCTTTTTTAAAAAAATTCAAAAAATTCAAAAAAAAATTGTTTATGCATTTAAAAATTTTCGATTTTTAAGATAGCCATTTTCTTGAGCATATTTTTTAAAACAGTTAAAAAAAATATTAAAATTGAATAAAAATTGACCAATTTAGAGCAAGTTATGTTTATTGAATATTTATAACAAAAAAATTAATTGTTTCACATTTCAATGATTTAGTAATTTGACCACCAAGATCGCCCGACATAACACCAATGGATTTTTTTTTATGGGGTTATTTGAAAAGTCTTGTGTATCCGTCGTGTTCATTGCCTGACCTCCGTGACAAAATTGAACAAAATATTCAAAATATTTTACCTGAGACATTAGAAAATGTTAAAAACACTTGGGTCCAAAAATTTAAGCTCTGTGTTACAAATAATGAAGGACACTTCAAACACTTATAAAAAAAAATGTAATGCATTATTTCAGTTTTTATGTAATAAAATCTTTTTTTTATTTTCTATTAACAATCAAATTTATAAATATTATATGAATTTTAATTTTAATGTTTCCTCTAAGATCTACTAATAATAAGATATTTACAGATTGCCATAAGAAATCAGCGTTCCAATCGAGATTGATTAAATCCAGAAATTCGTATTTTGCTAGGTAACAACTATACGGGAAAAACAAAACAGTTCAACCCACTATTAAAATAGTAGATTTAACAGTATTTTATAATTGCTATAGGGATAACTATAATGTTAATGATATTTACTATAATGTAATAGTTAAGTTATTATAGTCATTGTAACAAGAAAATAAAGTAATTTTTACAGTTTTTTACAGTTTACCTATTTTATAGTTTACTATATACTTTAATTTAGTTATTCAAACAGTATTTATAGTAGTACACACTAGAATTTATAATAGTTAGAACTGGAAGTTTTAGTTCATATCACTCCAGCAGAAATTTAATTTACAGTTTAACAGTTTATTGAGCTATAACTCGTAATAACCACTATAAAATTAAGTATTCGTAACCAAGTTTTATATTTAATTATTTTATATATTTAGCAATCATTGCTGTCATGTATAGTACTTTTTAAAATTATAATATTTTATTCATTTAAATTGTACCTATTAAAATTGCTATTTTTTTGGCTAGTACATGCTTTTACTTATAAAATTTAAAAGAACGTTGTTAAATGTGGTATTCAAATATAATTTCGTTTATGTAAAAAAAATATTATTTTTTTTTTTTATTTTCAATTGTGTAACAGATTAACTGGTTATTTGATGACTAATTAAAAGAACAACATACTTATGATTTTGTATAAGTATAGTTATATTCCAAAAACAAATTATAATAGGACATATATACTTTTTTCAAATAAGAATTCACCATGGGCGGCGAACACAAATCTGGTCGAGCCCGTGCATGTTTTACAACAAATTTAATACTAATTAATTGCAAGTGGTAGAGTATTTAATTATTCCAAGTCTTGTCTTGGTGTCTTACCAAGTGCGAAGCGGTGCGTTCACATTCGAAAAATAGTTTGGGTTTTTTTTACAACAAATAATATAAAAAAATATAGATTTAAAATAATTAGGACAGCTTTGTTATAAGCTTTATAGTTAATAAGCTAAAGGAGTATGTAGTAAGTCGATATTTATTTAAACAATTTGAACAAAACTTGAAAATAAATGTATACATTAATAATCTAATCTACTGCATATTTAGTATATAGTGTAAAAAACTTACCGTTTTGACTTGAATCCGTAGAAACTTAGAAACCCGTCGTGCGTCGAACTTTCTTGTTGGTGTGTTGCAATACACGACTGACAAAAGGGTAGTGGTGACCACCATCTATTAACTCATAATACGTTATGTAAGAGACAAAATTCTTAAGAATTTTCATTTCATCCACACGTGGTGTCTCTTGCCTTATTTTACCCTTGTGTTAGCTACTCGCGCGTGTTAAGTTTTAGCCGAATTACATTTCGACAGTTACGACTTACTATATTTTATAGTGATTTGATATATTGTTATAGTATCCAATTATCTGAGCTATAAAATATAGTTGATTAAAATATATAAAAAAAAAAAACTATATAATATAGTAATATTCACTATTGAAACCAACTATTTCTATATAGTCTTAATAACTATACTATTTTAGTCATTCTACCTATAAAATAGTGATTCTTACTACATTTTCCGTGACTATAAAATTTTAGTAATTTGTTTTTTTTCCGTGTATTATAATTCTTCAAAAACATAACTTGCTCTAACTTGGTCAATTTTTATTCAATTTAAATATTTTTTTTTAACGGTTTTAAAAAATATGCTCAATAAAATGGCTATCTTAAAAATTGAAAATTCTTAAATGCATAAAAAATTTTTTTTTAAAAAAAAATCGAATTTTATGCCAATCAATCAAAATTTCCATACTAAGCATTGTAAAAAAAAACGCGTTTAAATATATTGATTTCCCGTGGAGATATTAAGGGTGATATTGGATTTTTGGGACATGCTGTATATTTATTTATAAGGTCGGGGCTAATACAGACTGAACCTTGTGGGGACCGGTCCATAAACGGTCAAAAATGTTTTAATATTGGATCGACAGTCCGGTCTTCGGTCTATTTTATTAAATATTATTTAATTACTGATCCGTGGTATACTGGTATAGAGTGGTCCGGACCGGCTTTGGTATCCAGGTAAAATTTGTAGTCCGGTCTGGTCCTTAAAATAACGAACCGTACTACTAAAGCACTAGTGTACGCGTAAAACTATTTCACGTCCTCTTCGGATTATTCGTTGCACTTTACGTGCACTCGTATCGTTCACCCGTGTATCAATGCCGTGAAACATAAATCCGTCCTATATCGTAATTCCTATGTGTGTTTACCGCGAACGCGTGAAAGAATCTTTGCGGGATCTGCACTCGATCTGCCACAACGTCGTGCCCAATGATCATTGACGATAATATTAATTACGAGTAGATCCTTTAAGCACACCGCGTTCGAATATACCAGGTAGTACACGTAACACGATTACGAAACTAGCCAAGTCGTACATACGTATCCTCCATTCGCAGACATTACAGCTGCAACGGTATTGTTGTCCGAATGACGTTCATGGCACAAAATGTAAATACGTTAAACCAATCAAAGCGCATTACGATATATGATCTGACGTATCACAATTCTATCTATTTGAATAGTATACACCCTCATGTATATCGAATCGTTTTATCAAGAGTATCGTATTTGAGAAGCAGCATGGTTTCCGTCCAGAGCGTTCCACTACAACTTGTCACTTTAATTTCTGCAATTTTATATACGAGGCTTATCATAATCGGTCTCAATTGGACATATTCTATAAAGGTTTTAATAAAATATTTGGCAGATTAACCATAACACCATTGCAAGCGTCATTAAGCAATCTACATAGCAAATCCTATCTTCAAGACAAATACCCATCAGTAAAGGTTTTTGGAATCGAATCTAATATATTTTCAACTAGGTCCGGTGTTCCCCTTGAAGGCTATCTCTCTCCTTTATTATTGTCTCTATTCATATTTATTAATAGTATTCATCGTCAATCATTATCATCTTGTCTACTACGCTGACGATTTTAAACTTTATACTCGTGGATATACAACTGAAAATTGTCTTGAACTTTAAGATGGTCTATATAGATTTTCCAATAGTTATAGGTGGTAAAGTTTAACATTAAGCTTTAAAATTTCTTATGCCTATTTATGAAAAAGAATTATTGTTCTGTATGTACTTATTGTAAACTTTATTTTGCATTTATTTCCCTATAACTGTAGAACATTATAATTCAACTATTTTCAATATATTAATTTAATTAAGGACCACGATGTATATCGTTAAATAAATAGATAATTATATTTTTACATGCATATTGTAATATTCATGTGAAGTTTATGAATCATTTATTTAAACTAAATATAAATCAGTTTCTGTATTCATGTTCATTTCATTTCATCGTGTAACCGGACGCGGCGTTTATGTCACATTGCAATATCCCGCCGTTTAATTTCCGTATTGGTCGTAATTTTCCATATTTTACCATCGCGCTTTACTATTTTTCTTTTAATTCGTTCCGTCATCCAAATCCATATCTAATGATCCTTCCGATCCGCTGTCTGTGTAAATTGGCTTGTCATCATTTTCATCAAGTTCATCGTCCTCGCCTGTTTCATAGTCCTCGTCTGTTTCATCGTCTTCGTCTGTTTCATCGTCATCACTATTCTTCTCCGTCTCATCAATATCATCCAAATTCACGAATTCTACCATCCTATCGTCTATTTTAATAGTTTCGTCCATCTCTTCGTAAGTAACTAAGTAAATAAGTCCATAAGTATATACATATTATATACATTATTGGTCCGGAATTACCATTGTCGTCCACCTCCATCGGTTCTGAATAATCCTCTTCATCCACCTCCATAAGTTCTGTCCCATCTTCTTCGTCTATTTCCAT